CGGGCAGCCGGCGCGGGGCCCAGCGGCTCGGGTCTGCCGACCATCGCGGAGGCCGCGTGGGCTGCAAGCAAGGCGCGCATTTCGGCAGCTACTTCGGCACGGGTCATAGGAGCCCCGTCGTCCAGAGACGCCGCAGGGGCACCAGGAGCGATCGGAGCGGGACCCGCGACCCGTGGCGGCGCGGCGGTGCCCGCGCGCTTCGCGGGCGGGCCGCGCGGCGCTCCAGCGTCCGCGGGAGATCGCGCACTTGGGGCCGTGCGGTCGGCTTCCCCGTCGGCCGCGAACCCCTCGGGCTCCTCCATCTCGTCGGCAGAGTGATAGGGAGTAGCCCGATCGGCCCCTGGGAGCGGCTCTTCTCCTGCAGTAGGCGGGGCGCCGTGCAAGCGTGCGTAGCCCTCGCGAAGCACCCGAACCCCCGAAGGATGTGGCCAATAGACGCGGCCCCGCACCTCGGCGAAGGGAACGATGACTGCGTCCTCCCCGACCTCTAGAGGGTAAAGCGACTCGAGCTCGAGCTCTGCAACCTCGATATCTACGACGAGGACGGATGCAGTAGTGGCGAGCGGCCGTGAAGCGGCCCCCTGGAGCTGGACGTCCACTAGCTGGAAAGGGCCTATCATTCCTGCAAAGCCATCCGCCTCGGCAGCCACGAGCTCCGCCGTAGAGCGAAAGGCGCCAGGCAGGGCCAGAAGGATGCCCCCTTCTCGAGACGCGAGGGGGATAGCTGCCCAGCTGGTGTCGCCGTCGTCTAGGCGCCATCGTGCGTAATCGCGAGCCGTGGGAGCCGCGAATGGGTAGAGCTCGGGCCATAGAGGCCCTCCGCCAACTGGTGGCAGCTCAGCCATCAATGGGCGCTGTCGTGGGAACTGCCGCCCGAATGCTGGGCGTCTGCCCGCTCGAGCGCTCGAGGCCGAGGCGGAACCCCGTAAGCCAGCGCTCGCGCCGCACGGCGGTCCTGCTCAGGGGAAGCAGGAACCGCACCGCGCGGCCAGGCGGAGGCCCTGAGCCTCCGCCACACGTACGGGCCCAGCAGCCCGAAGCAGCAGCCTGCGCAGGCGCTGCACGCGGCCGTCACCCAAAGGAGGGCGACGACCGTGCTGAGCAGCCAGGGAGAGACCCCGCCGCTCAGATCCACCGCCAGCCCGAGGCAGACGGTGGGGCAGGCGGAACCCGCCGAAGGGAGGGGGCAGTAAGCCCCCTCACCCTCGGACGAGTCCGCCTGCTGGATGGACCAGGCAGGCGCAGGAGGCCCTTGGTCCTGAAGCACAGAGAGGGGGGCAGACACGAGCCGCTCGTAGAGCGCGGCCCGCAGCCCCCTGAAGAAGATCTCCCCGGCGCCCCCGAGAGCCGCTTGTGCGACCGCCTGCATAAGGCGTCCGCACGCGCGGCCGACGGGGGGGCACTTGGGCAGAGAAGCTGCGGAGACAGCAAGAGCTTGCTCACAGAGAATAGAAGAAGCATCCTCTCTTTCACTTTTCCCCCGCTCCTCCCTCCTCCCCTTCTTGGGAGAATGATGGCGGCGCGCGTGCTGGCCGAACCCCCAGACCCCTTCCCCCGCAGAACCAAGTCACTTAAAACGCTCCCTCCCTCGCTCGTTCCCTCCATCCGTCCTCCCGCTTCCGTTTTCTTCCCTCATGGCGGCCTGCCCGGGCATTTCCACAGTGGAGCCAACAACCTCCTCCCTCCCTCGGAGGTCTCTAGAGAGTGGTGTGAGGTCCCCAAAGGCCTCCGAAGGCCTGTGGGAGGCTCGAGGGGGGCGACAAGTTACAAAAGTATCGATCCTCGAACCTTCTTTATCACCACTGTCATCAGACGTAGTAATAACTTTGTTCGAACGCCCCCGACCTTTCGATTCTTGCGATTCTTGCATCCCGGAAAGCGAAGCATATCCGCCCTGTCTTGTTCCATACGTCGGAGGTCCTTGAGGCTTGAGGTCGACCCCCAGGCATGCCCTCCTGGGGTGAGTTCGGACCAGAGATGCTTCGATGATCCTCAGAACATGCGTTCGCGCCAACGTGAGGCCCTTCAATACGACGCGGGCGGCACAACGACGGCCGCCACGAGCTGCGCGCTATCGGCGAAAACGAGCGGGGCAAACACACGCTTTGGCCAACGCACGTCCCACGGACTATCGAATATCGAGGCGGATCCGGCTGGGGCGACGAGCCCACTTAGGCGTCACGGCAAACAGAGACAACGCGCCATGGCCCCGATCCTCTATGCTTTCCTCGACCCTCGGCCGTCCTGTAAGATCGGGTCGGACGAACGGGGGGGGATCACAATTGGGGGCTACAGCCAACCCAGATAGTAAAAATGCGCGGGAAGGATGCAAGGGCCTTCCAGGCCTTCCAGGGCCACGTTCACGTTTTTCGCAAGAGGTTGGCCAGCGAAAATCGCTAAGGATGGGCCGAAGGGGCAAGGATGCAGGGGTAACCTTGGCAAGTTGCTCATCCTTCCTATGCGGGCTGGCTGTGCAGTAGAGGCGTCCACAAAAAACCATCCACAGGAAACCCAACCCCGAGACCCCATGACGTCCATGGATTTTCGGTGTGGGAGCGTCACGCTTTCCCTGGCAAAACCATCGAAACCAAAGAAATCCAGGGCACCCTGGAGGCAGAATGTTTCTTGGCACGGGCCCCACTGTACCCAAGCCCCTGCAAACAGGGCGTCAGTAAGCGGGGTGGTAGCTAAGGGGCCTCTTCCAGCGAGAAACGGGGTGACAGGGCATTTACCTTGCACTAATGCGTGATACATCGGGGCGACAAAAACGCCGATGCATCATCATAACTCTGGGCGGGGGGGGTTCCTCGCACGTGTGCGCGGCACCCTCAGCTAACGGGCCTCACCTCTCGAAGAAAAACTCATAAACATAAACTTTTGGCGCTCCGCGCGGATTTCTTAAGATCCGACCCGGACCCCTCTCCCTGGCGCGCGGAGCGCGCCAGGCGCCGCCGGGGGGGCCCAGCGCGGATCCAAGAAATCCGCGCGGAGCGCCAAAAGTTTTATGGCGTCTTTTCGTCTTCGATTGTGCGCGGCAGCCTCAGCTACAAGCCCGCACCTCAGCTATTGGCCCGTTTACCAACGCCAAGGACCTTGCAGAATCCTGCAAGATCCTGCGGCCAAACCCTGGTCAACGCGAAGGATCCTTCAGAATCCTGCAGGATCCTGCGCCCAAACCCGGGTCTGTGCGACCCAGGCCCTGCAGGAGCCTGCAAAATCGGGCGCTCTGGCTGACCCCCGTTTGCATTGACCCCCGTTTGGGCGTTGCTTAATGGGGGGGTCACAAATGGGGGGGTCAGAAAAGGTCCCCTTTCGTGCCCCTTTCGGGCCCCTCCAGAGCCCCAGGGGGCTCGTTTAGGTACCGTTTGGGTACCTTTTCGAACCACTCTCGCCACCCCCCCATTTATGACCCCCCCATCACGCGGTGCCCAACCCGTCTCTTGAGCCCCGATACCGGCCCGCACCTCAGCTACTGGCCCATTTACCAACGCCCCGCTTGCAAGGGCCGGGAGCACGCGCACCCGCTCACGCCGCCAGTCTTCCCCGCGACTCTCGGAGCGCGCCGGCGTGTCGTGGAGCACGCTTTCGGCGGCGGGGCCGAAGCCAGCGGCACGCAGCAGCTTCCGTCTCCCCCCCCCCCGCCCTCTCCCCGAGCCCCCCCCCCGACTGCGTGCCAGACCACCCCAACCCAACCCGAAGACCCGAATTTCGGGTTTTTTGAGGGGGGTACGGGCTCCACATGTGGTTTTGCAGTGCTCCTCCCGCCCCCACTCCCCCTCCACTGGGTGGTGCGGTTTGGAGGGTGGTGACCCCCCCTTTTCCTCCGAGCCGATCTTCCTCCCGGGCCCTCGAGGCTGCGGACTGCCCCGTCGAATCTGCCGTGGTCAACTCAACATGGTGGGAGGCGGGTCCTGATGGAAACGGGTCCTGGACACATGGGGCCTACCCAGAGGGCGAGATCCTCGCCCAAAGTCGTTTCTTGCCAGTCCCGGGGCCCGTGGAGGGCTCCAAGAGCCCGGGAAAGGCGAAACACCTCAGGACCCGGCTCCCTCCGCACTCATTTTCCCCCCCAATGGCGGCCCAGGCCAACCCCCCGGATGTCAGCCCCCCGGGTGGGGCCGACGAGGCTCGCGCAGCCTGCGGCGGCCGCGGGCGGGGCCCGAGCACTCTACCCGCACCCCTGAGGAGATGGGGCGAGCAGCGCCACGGCGCGCTCCTCGAGCCCACTTCCTCGCCGCTCCCCGTTCCGAGGCTCAGGGGCCGAAGTGGCGGCCGGGTGTTTCTCCCACCCGACGGGCCGACGGGCGCCGAAAAGGGCGCGGAACAAAGGGGTGCAGCGTCAACCCGTATAGCAAGGATGCGCGATCAGGATGCAAGGGGCTGGGAGGACCATGTCGACACTTTGCGAGCAGGGCGCGGCCAGCGAAAGCGGCCAAGGATGGGTCAAAAGGGAAGGATACAAGGGCAATTAACCTGGGCAAGTCGCTCATCCTCAGAATGAGGGCTGACTGTACGATGCCCAACAACACATGCTGTCCAAATCTGACAGCGGCCGCTGATGGGCAGGCGAGTTTGTGCCTCGAATGGGCCACGGCCGCGGCGACGCCGAAAGCGAAACCTTCGGAATGACCAATAACTGCTGCTGGACTTTGTGCCCATTGCTTGTGTACCAACTTCTGTCCCTCCAGCGCCCGAGTCGGCGGCGAGCCTGAGGGGAAGTCAGAAGGAGAGGGCCTTCTCGGAAGGCGGCGGGACTTCTCATGAGCCCTCGCGCCCTCTGAGAATTGTTGTGGCGCCTTCGGGGAAGGCTCAGAACACTTCTCAGAAGGCCAGGGAACTTCCGAGCCTTCTGACAAGGCCCGCCACTTCTCACTCGCTCGCCTCCGCCACTTCTGACAAGGCCCGCCACTTCTGACAAGGCCCGGCACTTCTGACAAGGCCCCCCCTCGCTCGCCGCCGAACGGGGGGGGCCCGACGACGCGTGCACCGGACGGGAGGACCACGCTCGGCGCCGGGCCCACCGTGCAGAGGGCGCCCAGCAGCTGCAGCGCGCGCGCCCAGGCCTGCAGCGGGGGGGCGGCGAGGAAGAGGAGGAGGAGGAGGAGGAGGAGGAGGAGGAGGAGGAGGAGGAGGAGGAGGATGAGGAGGAGGAGGAGGAAGGAGTGCCGCGGGCCCGAGCGGGCTTGGGGCTTTGCGCGTTGCCCTCGGGTGGGCAACCGCGGCGAGATACTCCCCATCGCACAATCTCACACATTACATCCTCGTCTCCAGATGTCTCGCTTGTGAGCGTTTTCATTTTCGACGTTTCGACATTTCGCGGAAGGGGGGGGAGGGAGGGGGTCTGGCTCAGGACCTCTGCTTACTGCCAGTGTTTGCAGCAGTGCGTCCTATGGGGGGAGACTCCACCTGCTCGAAACAGGCGCCCAAACACAGCCAAGATTCACTCCACGGGGGGGGGAGGGGGGGGCGCGAGGGCCCGCGCCGATCGGCAAAACGACGAATCAGAAAACGACGATTACCTTTCTCATTTCCCAAATTGCGCTGAGGCCAACATGGACCGCAGGTATTGCTCTTATCGACAGCGTCCAGCTCGACCTGAAGAAGGCAGAAAATTCAAAACACTTCGTAGGATTGGATTCTCGACACGAGCACATCATGCTCACATCTCCGTCAAGGATCTGGGACTACCTATCCCTTGCATCAGGAGATTGGCCAATTGAACAGGCATACGCACATATATATATATATATATGTATATATATATATATATGCATGGAACATGTTTCTCAGCTCACTTCGACATATGGTGACAACGATTGAACTGGTTATCGTACTCCAAACCAGCAGACTTACTGGCCAGCAGCCCGTCCAGGAGACCATCCATCAGACCAGCTTGCCATCCACCGACCAGCAGACCAGCAGGCCAAGCAATAGACAACACAGCAGCACACCCACCGTCTAGCAGACCCACCGACTAGCAGACCCACCAACCACCGACAGACTGGCAGACCCACTGACCTGCGACAGACTGGCAGACCCACTGACCAGCAGGCCACAGTACACCGACCAGCAGACCACCAACCAATGACCACTAGACCCACTGACCGCCCACTCTGATTCCACCGCTCACTCTATGCAATTCCCTCCCTACCTGCCAAGCATGCCGCAGTTATGGCTTGTACCGCCCCCTCATCATTCAGCTGCGGCGCCGCCTCCGCCGCCACGAGCTGCAAGCGACTTCCATGATGACAACGACACAGCCGCTTACAACATAAACGACACCAAAAACACCGACTACGGCGCCACCGCGGTCCACCGTTTCGGCGCCATTACGGCGTCCACCGGCTGCTCTGCAGATTCACCGACCAGCAGGCCAACTGACCAGCAAAGCACCGACCAGCACACCAACAACCCCAGCGACAGCATCGACATCCACATCGACGCCAGCACCAAAACCACCATAGACGCCAGCACAGACACCTGCACCTGCCTTCACGGCAGCACCGAAACCAGCCTTCCTACGCGGCCAACGGCGGACAGCACGACTCCGACAGGTCCGATTCGCCGACAACCCGCACCGAGTCATCCCAGACGCTCCCAGCGACGCCATGTCCGATGCCCGCCTCGACCCCATATCCGACGACCCATCCCGCGATCCATCCACGCCCACGCAAGCACCGACACCACCACCCACCCCATTAGCTCAAACAGCGGCGACGGCACCAGCCACGAGTTCATTCAAGGCAACAAGCACGTCTTCAGAAACGCCAGCGTCGACACCCGCGTCGACGTCAGCACAGACGCCAACATCGACGCCACCACCCACGGCTCCCCGACCGCGGCTCCCCAGTCTGGCAGCACTTCTCCATACTCGTGCCACGCCGACATCTGCGACGACCATCGCGCGCGCTTCGCGCTCGCTCAAGTTCTAGCTAGGGTCATGATCATCGTCATCATTATCATCCTCATCCCCGTCATCTTCATCGTCATCATCACGGTCACCTTCACCATCACCATCACAACAATCATCATTGCCACCACTATCATCAGCATCGTGATCACCATCGCCATCATCGTCATCGTACTTTTCAGCATCATCATCATCATCATCATCATCATCATCATCAGCAGCAGCATCATCATCATCATCATCATCATCATCATCATCGTCCGCATCATCGACACCTTGTGTTGTCGTCGTCGGCGTCGTCGGCATAGTCATCATCGTCATCGTCATCATCGTCATCAGCATCATCATCATCATCATCATCATCATCATCATCATCATCATCAGCGTCATCGCCGTCATCATCCCTGGTCCACTGCAGTCCCCTTACCCTCCTCCTCTTGCCGTTCTCCCTCTTTCCATTATCTCATACAAATCCTTTTCCTCGTCGGCGTCTCCCTGAAAGGGATCCCTGTTCCTTCACCTCCTCCTCCTCCTCTTCTTCCTCCTCCTTCTCCTCCTCCTCCCTGTCTTCCCCGCTCTTCGGTGTGTCCCTCCTTGTGTTCCTTCACCTACTTCACCTCCTTCCTCCTCTCGAGCGCTCTTCATCTTGCGCTCCCCTTCCCTCCTCGTCGTCAGCATTCCTCCCCGAGCCAGAGAATCAGAGAACAAGATGATCTTACAAGAAGAATGTCCCTCCTCCTCTTCCCCCTCTTCGTCCTCCTGATATTCCTCCCCCTCCTCCTCCTCCACCTCCTCCTCCTCTTCTCCCTCCTCCTCCTCCTCCTCTTCTCCCACCTCCTCCTCCTCCTCCACCTCCTCTTCCTCCTCCTCCTCTCCTCCTTGTCTTCCTCCTCCTCTCAGTTCTCTTAACGCACCCAATACACGGATGCCTACTGGAACGCGTGCCGGGAGCTTTTTTGGAAGCATTGTGGCAGTGTCCGCAGCCTCTCCGGGCCTTTTTTGGAGTCCTTCGGGGCCTTTGTTGGCCCGTCTGAAGGCTCATTTCGGCCGTTCCGGGTCCCTCTTGGCTCGTCTTGGGGAGCTCAGCCCGTCTTGGGGCCCTCCTGGGGCCCCTGGTGGCCCCCTCGGGCTTTCTGGGGGCTCTCTTGGATCGTCTTGTGTCTAGGGCCCATTTTGGTAACCTCTTGGGCCGTCGCGACCGCTGGTAGAACTGAAAAGCCAAGCTCCCAGAAATATAAGTTTAAAGGAGATGCTTGATGTTTGCCTTTGGAGGGCCTTCTCAGCGGCCTCTTGGACAGTCGTGGGGGGGTCATCTTGATCTGTTAGTGGTCCGTCTGGGTGCCCATTTCGGCTGTCCCAAGCCCCTCTTGGCATGTCATGGGTAGCTGAGCCGTCTTGGGGCCCTCATTGGTGCCCTCTCCGACAATGCAGGGATCCTCCGGTGGCTCCCTCGGGCCCCCTGGGTTCGGGCTGTTTCGGAGCTCTCTTGCGCTCCTCGACGCTCCCTTGAGGCTGTCTTGGAGCCCTCTTGGGGGCCTCGTGGACCAGGTGGCGCCGATTTGGGGAGCCTTTGGGGCCGACGTGGCCGCCGATGGAACATAAGAAGCGAATATCATAGAAATGTTGTTTTTGTCCGTGGGATATGCTAGTTTTTTGCACCCGGGAGCCTTCTCAGCGGCTTCCTGGACCTTCTTCAGGGAGTCCTCGTACGCCTCTTTTGGACCCTCTGGGAACCCAACTCGGCCGTTCCGGGTCCCTCTTCACCCGTCATGGGGACCTGAGCCCGTCTTGGGGCCCTCGGGGGGCCCTCTCCAACCATGTAGGGATCCTCCCGTGGTCGCCTTGGGGTTCCTGGGTACTCTCTTGGGCCGTGTTGGAGCTCTCTTGTGCTGCTTGAAGCTCTCTTCAGGCCGTCTGTGGGCCCTCTTGGGGGCCTCTTGGGCCGTCTGGAGCTCATTTTGGGAGCCTCTGGGGCCGTCGCGACCGCTGGTAGAACTGAAAAGCCAATATCAAGGAAATGCACGTTTTTCCATGGGTAATACTTGATTTTTGCCCTTGGAAGGCCTTCTCGGCGGCCTGTTGGACCGTCTTGAGTGCCTCTGTGGCCGTCTAAGAGCAGTCTTGGGCTGTCTTCGAGCGCTCGTGGCCCGTCCAAAGCCATCTTAGTGCGCTCTTCAGCCACCTTCCAGACAACCTGGGGCGCTTTGGGCGCCTCTTGGGCCAGCTTGGGAGCCTCTGGGGGGGTCCTGGGCCCCTTCTGAACCCTCTTGTAGCCCTCAACGCCCCCCCCGGCCCCCCATGCGAACCAGAGGTTGCAGTTCTGGGCCCTCCCCCGGCCTACTCCGACACTCACACACACACAGACACACAGACACACACACACAGATTTATATATATATATATGTATGTATATATATATAGAGAGAGAGATATATATACATCTACACATGCACACATGTATACACAGATGTAAAACATGTATAAATGTTTAACTATTCACATAGGTGTATATGCATGTATGCATGCATGCATGCATGCATGTGTGTGCATGCATGCATGTATGTATGTATGTATGTATGTATGTATGTATGTATGTATGTGTGTATGCATGTATATATGTGTGTGTATGTATATATGTGTATGTATGTATGCATGCATGTATGTATGTATGTATGTATGTATGTATGTATGTATGTATGTATGTATGTATGTATATGGCCCCCTGGTGGGGCCACCACGCTGTAGGCCGAAGTTTGCTGCTCCCTGCGCCATTGGCAGTTTCAAGTCTCCAATGTTACAGCCCTACTTTCTGCTTTCTACTGTAAGTTGATGAAGTCCGCCCGAGGGGGGGAGCCCGACAGGATCCACTTCACCACGCCCATATTGCGTTCAAATACTTGAGGGACGCGTCTCCGAAACCATAATCCCTCGTGGATTACGTAACCGTTGCGTCCCGAGGCCACACACCCTCGTAAAGTATACAAATTGTTGCGTCCCCGAGGCAACACACCCTAGTAGATTATGCAATAGTCGCGTTCCCGAGGCAACCAACCATCGCAAATCAAACAATATTCGCGTCCCCGGAGCCGTAAACCGTTGCAAAGTACGCCATGTTCGCCTTGCCGAGACCAAAAATCATCCACGGCGCCCGAA